TTGACTCTAGGACTGGGACTTTGTGGGAGTGAATTTAGTCTACCCTGCAGGGTCGTAAGGAGCATAAAATGGGAACAGCGGTAAAAAAATTTGTGTGTTGATCTGAATGCATCATATAACAACGTACAGTAGGTGACTGTGGGGGGATTGGTTCCAAGCTCCCCCCCCTTGCGGGTGCCAAAAAACGTGGAAGTACTGAACACTATACATTGCGTGGTCACTCTCTCCCTCTGGTAGCACTGAATGCATCATATAACAACGTACAGTAGATGACCGTGGGGGGTTTGGTTCCAAGCTCCCCCCCCTTGCGGGGTAAATACATATAAATACATATTTATGAGATTTTTTTTTTAATTTAACATCTTCAGGTAGCGGATAAGTGGATCAGCAGATATGGATCCCGTGGCAGGGGTTTGTGTGTGTCCTTCTGTACTGAGAAACATTGGCTGATGATCTGTCCCTGCCTACCAAGAGGATGTCCACGGGGTTCTGTGGCGTGTTCTCTGACGATACCCTTCTAGTTCCTCCAGTTCCACGAAACCAGCTGCACGGGCTCGGAACGAGCACACGCTCCTTTACGAGGCCGGCAGCCAATGGGTTGGGTGTCCTTTCTGCTGAGGATCGTGCCCCTTGGAACAAAAGCAGGGGCTGGTAAATCTCTCCAGGGAGCTGACATTCCTGATTTGGGGTGATTTTTTTTGTGGTTTTTTTAAAAAGCCATTTTAGGTTTTAAAAGCTGGATAATTAGTAGCTGCTTGTAGAGAATTAAACAGGCTGAATAATAATCTATTAGGCGCTTCTCATCGTCTGTTCTTTTCTTCTTCTTTTACCAAAAAAACAAAAGAAAAAAAACAACAAAATCACCAACCGCCACCCTGTTAGCATTTCCCTCCCGTCCATGCACTTCTGCACAGGCATTAATGTTTATTAGACAGCCCCTTGTTAGATGATGAACAGATAAACCCTCAACTGGGATGTGACATGTTTTAAAGATGCAGCGATAGGAGGTTTCCGATGTTTCTGGCTTGTTAGGTTTCAGCCTCCTTGGCTGAATTAGCGAGCCCGCCATGGCCCACGGGGACCTCTTTTAAGGTTTCTTCCGTGGCACACGGTGCCTAGCATGAGGGGGTCAGGCCCCCACCCCACCCCAGGATGGCTGGCGGAGGGGCAAAGCGGCAGGGAGGGGTGGTGGTGGTGGCGGTCAGCTTGAACTTTTGGCCTTTGGGGAGGAGGGGGAGGCTGGCTGGCAAAAAGCCTGTCCACGGCTTGCAAAAGGCAACAGAGCTGGGGAGGAGGGGGAGGCTGGCTGGCAAAAGGCTTGCAAAAGGCAACAGAGATGTGAGGAGGCAGGCTCGGCTGGCTAGGCATTTGTGAACAGGTACAGAGACAATCCATGCCAAAACCTGGCGCCAGATTTTTGGGCGGCGAGAGGGTTTCGTGGACAAGGGGCCGTGACAGGGTCTCCCTTTCTGAGAGCAGCAGCCGACGCTGCCTTCTTCCTCTGTGCTGTGCCCGCCACCGTCCCTTTGTGGGCCCTGAGAGATGCAGCCTTGTCGGGTGACCCCCCAGGCACGATGGCGTGGAGGGGTTTCATCCTTCTTCCCCCGCCCTGCAGCTGGTTCCCTCGGGGAGGCTTTGTGGAGGCAGTAAAGGAGAAGTGTCAGGATCAAGAGGTGATCCTCGAGAGTTGCAGGTGCCTAGCCGAGGGGGGGGGGCGTCACAAGGGTCCCCCTTCAAAGCCCAGCCCTGCCCTCTCTCGACGTTGGCCCTGCTGCAGGGCTGTGCAGAGGGAGCGTTCTTGAGCTGCCCTCTCAAGCGGCTTGCGTCCTCCGCCCTGTCCGGTCCCTCCTGGATGCTCCCCCGTTCATCAGCATTTCTCGCTCCCATTGGTATGCATCGAGGGGCATGGGTGCCTCTCCCTGCCAAAAGTCCCCTCCCTCCCGAGCTTAGATACGAACATTAAATCAGGCTTTAATGGGCTCCTAGAATCTCTAATTAAGCGCCAGCCGGTCTTGGGCGCCCCAAGAGAGAGGGGGGGGGGGGGGGAGAAGAGAAGATGGAGGAGGAGGTCCGGCTACTCCAGCCAAAGGCAGGCCGAGTGGTCAGTCCTTCTCGCAGCCCTGCTACTGGATCCCGGGGAGTTTGGCTGGGCTTGGCCATGAGGGTGGCCGTTCTGCAGGACTCTCAAGGCCTGGTGTGGGGGTTTTTTGGGGGGGTGGAGTTGTGGGGGTTTGGGGTCCATGCAGGTCATCCCAGACACCTTGCTGCTAGCTGGATCCTTGCATCCGTGGGTGATTTCAGAGCTGGGGCCATCTGGGCTGTGTTACAGGTTGATTTCCCCCCCTGTTCCATAGCAGATTCTCCAGCAATTGGCATTTCTGCTTCATGGCACAGCAGCCGACACTGACGTGGGTCTCCAGAAGGTGCACCTGGGCCTGCTGACCGTAACCAGGTGGCCACTTGGGGTGGTGGGGGAGGGAGGGAGAGAGAAAGGAATCTCCCCTCTCCTCACCCCCCCAGCCTGCTCGTTTCCCAGACCCCCCCATCCACCCACCCAGCGTTGCTCTTCCTTAATGTCACCATGTTGACGAGCCAAGCAACAAGATCAGCCAGGGTTTTCTTGCTGCAGAAAAGCGAGAGGGTGCCTCTTGGGAGATTACGCTTGGGGGGGTGGGGGGGACTGCCGTGTGCCACCACATCTGTGTCCGTGGGACCTCAGATGACCTCTGATGCAGAATCACCCCGCCTCAGCGATCGGCTGGCAGGGTGTGCATTGCTGTGGAAGCGGTGGCCGTGGAGGATGGCGTTCAGCAGCCCATCCTTTCCGGGTCATTTTTCAAGCGGAGTATTTTTGCACCGTCCGCAAGTTGGCATCCACATGGCATTGGCTGGTCTCAAGGAGCGCGGGGGGAGAGGGGAAGCTCCCCCGTGGGTCCCCGTCGGCTTCTCACTAGGCCATGACCGTTCATTTTCCTGCCATGAGGGCTAGGAACTTGGCTTGCCCAAGGACAGACGGAGTGCCGCCGCAGAGCACAGCTGGCTCTGGACTCTTAGTGTGGATGTGGCTCAGATGATGTGCGGTGGTGCGCTGCGGTGGCGCGGCTTCTCTCCTGCAGGTGTGGCATGAGCAGATGGATCCGGCTGGCTGGGAGCTCCGCTTGCCGGTGTGTCTCTGGTGGCCAAAGCAATCAAGCTGCTAAATTCAGAGAAGCCGGCCTCTTTGCTGCTTTTCTTCCAAGTGTGCGGCTGCTCCCTCGGCTGGCTGGCTCACAACCCCTCCGCTCCCCCTCCTTCGTCTATCTCCCCCCCCCCCCAGCTTCACCTGTCTAGGGATGCGCCATGCCTGGGAATCCTTCCGCCTTGGGCACCTCTGGGTTCACTTGGCCTGAGGGCATCCTGTGGGCCTTGAAAACTGGACAGGGGGGGGACACCTTGGAACAGGACACGGAGGCTTCTCAGCAGGATGACAAAAATGGTGTTCCATCCACACCGGGGTGGTGGTGGCTGTGACTGAGTGGGACGTGCTTGAGTGCTCCTCCTCAACCGGCCGGCCAGGCCTTCCGTGTGAAGGAGACGGAGGGCCATGCTCTGCTTCGTCCCCTGTTTCCCAGGCCCTCTTCCGCCTTCTGTTCTCCGGGAAAGAACAAGGCCCCCATCCGATTGCACTTGATGCCCTTCCCGTCCGCCTGACCGGAAGGGTTAGGATTGAAAGGCTGTGGCTGCACATGCCCAGTCGCGGAGCGGGTCCCGTGGCCCTGATTTCCTAAGACTAGATTGTTTGGAAGCTGTCCTTCATAGCTTTGGAGTGAGCGAAGGGGTCGTAGAGCCCCACTTTACCATGGGAGCACTCTGTAAACATGCACATATTTTTTTAAAAATTGAGCCTTGCTGGGCAGGGGTTAAACTGCAGCCCTGCAGCCAAGACTCTGCTCATGTCCTGAGTGCAAATCCAATGGGCTCGGGTGGCTGGCTGAAGGTGCAGCCCTGCAGCCAAGACTCTGCTCATGTTCTGGGTGCAATTCCAATGGGCTCAGGTGGCTGGCTGAAGGCTGACTTGCAACTCTTGGTTTCCAGAAGAGAGTCGAGATCTCTACGCTCACCCTGGGGCTTTCCGTAAAGGCATCCCTAGATGAGTCTGGAGCTTCTGGCATCCCTTAGCCCCCCCTGTTTGTGGCTCCTTTTGCTTTTTGGTACCACTGGGTGATAGACACGGTGGCATTGGCTGGTGGACACCCCCTTTCATCGCGTGAATGCTGGGAAGGGGCAGGAAGGAAGACTGGGCGGCGATGTGTGTGTGTATGTGTGTGTCCTCACCCCCATGGTTCCATAAATGATTCTGCTCCCACCTCTTCCGGTGTGTGTGTGTGAGAGAGAGAGACCTTACCCCCATCGTTCCATAAATGATTCTACTCCCACCTCTTCTGTCTTGGTGGCAAGACATTCACCCTTGCCAGGCCAGTTGGCTTTTGGATGAGGAAGGAGGAGGTTCCGGTTCTTTGCTTCAGATTAGAGATGTCTTTGGCGGTTCTCAAACAAGCAGGATCAACACCTTCTGGATGAACGTGTGGGCTGGCATCCCGTTGCTTTCAGACACCCACGTTTTCTGCATGCTTAGTATACTTCTGGTCTTTAAAAAAAGAGAGAGAGCCCTATTTAGAATTGCTTATTTTTAAAGAAACAATCCTTTGGAGAGAGAAAACTCAGTCTCTGGAGCTGCAGAGTCAGAGGTTGGGTGTTTGATTCTTGCCCCCCCCCCACGGGGCCTCCTTGACAGGGGCTGGACTGGATGATCCAGAGGGTCCCTCTTCCAGCTCTGCAGTTCTCAGAGGATGAGGATGATTAAGATGACAGAGCAGTATTCCTGCTCAGCTGGGTGTCTGAGCCCCAGGCGTCTTAACTCGTGCGCTTGGGCAGCTTTGCGCCCGGCATGTTTCTCCAGCCATGGCAAGGGCGATTCCCAAATCTTGGTGAAAGATTTTGTGTTTTTCCCCCCTCTGCAGAGCTGCTGGGATCAGCCAAGAAGGTGAACGTGAATTTCCAAGACACTGATGGGTGAGTAGCTGCCGCCTGTGCATGGCTGAGCATGCCAAGAGCATGGGTGTGTGTGTGGGGGGGTGTTGGGGTGCCTTTGTGTGCATGTGCCTTGGATCCTTTGCCATCGGGATGGGACTAGAGAGTGATGGAGAGGAATCTGGAGTTCCCGTTACTTGTGAGCCCCCACCCCCCCCCACCCCTTTTGTCGCCTGCATGCAGGTTTGTCCAGGCAGCCCAAAGCCCGAATATTTCTTTTTAATTGCATTCCATTCCACAGTTCCTTTGAGGGTCACTGTCCCCACCCTCTGTTTTACTTTATGTTCAAAATCGTGTTGTTGAGTGACTTCAGCTTTCCCAGGGAAGATCATCCGAGCTGCCTGGGAATTCGCACTGGTTTCTCTGTCTGCCTGACCCTGCACCACAAAGGTTTTTGCTGGGGGGAAAAAGAGGCAGACCAGAGAGGAGAGTTTCAACTGGCTAAATATGTATTTTTAATTTATCTTGTCAAATAGATTTCCCCCCCCCCCAACCTCCCCAAGGGTTTAACCAAAGTCTGTTTTTCCCTTGCTCGGAGATGTTCTGGGTCTCTCTGCAAAGGGCAGCAGCCGCGGTTTGGGGGGGCAGCCGGCAGGGGTGCAGAAGAAGCACCCCTCGTTGTTTATTATTATTATTATTATTATTATTATTATTATTATTATTATTATTATTATTATTATTATTATTATTATTATTATTATTATTATTATTATTATTATTATTATTATTATTATTATTATTATTATTATTATTATTATTATTATTATTATTATTATTATTATTATTATTATTATTATTATTATTATTATTATTATTATTATTATTATTATTTTGGGGAATGTTATGTGTGTGCATGTGTCTGGTCTCTGGGTGTCTGTGAATTTCGTTGTATGATATACTGTGTATATACTTACAATGACAATAAATTATATTATTATTATTATTATTATTAACCAAAAGACGACGACGACCCGACCGGGGCAAAGGGGTTTCCTCTTCGCCTGCTTCTTGCCCCTATCCAAGAGCTCCCCCCCACACTTTGTCCATCTTTTGTTTTGTTTTTTCTTGTCTTGATCAAGGGACATCCCTCCCCAAGTGGGAACGGAGGGGTGTGTGTGTGTGTGGGGGGGGAACACTTCTCCGTCCTCTCTCTCTCTCTCTCTCTCGCCCTGGGGGCCTTGTTCCCGGGCCAGCGCTCATGGCCACGGGCTGGCACCCCGTGCGCCTTCTCTCTCTCTCTCTCTTCTTTCTCTCCTTTCAAGGCGCACAGCCGCCGGAGAAAATGCATCTTTGCTGAAAGATGGGAGCGGGCGGGTTGGCGTGGGGGGGCACACGTGTGTTGCGTGTCTCCGGGTCAACGCTTCCCTGTGTTCCTGTGTTATAAAAGGACACCCGGGCAGCCTCGTTCCTCCCGTGGAGGGGCCCCTCCCGCCGGGAGCCCCTGCTGCCCTCCAATACCCCCCCCCCGAAATCCCTGGGGATGCAGAAAAAAAAGGCAGGCTTCCAAACCCCTTTCCTGGAAAGAGCCCAAGAGGCGGATCTGTTTCGGGTCATCGCTGGGGAAGCGTGTGTGTGTGTGTGTGTGTGTGTGTGTATGTGTGTATGTGTGTATGTGGGTGGGGGGACACGCCGGCCCCCCCAGCCCTCCTTCCCGCTCCTGTCCCTAAATCACAGCATTCCTGGGCCCTTCCAGGAATCCTCCTCTGGTTTACATCTGCAGCAGCCGTTCCATCCAGGGCTTTTATGGGCATGTCTGGAGAGCAGGCAGGGTCTGTGTTTCTTCCCAAAAATGCTGGGTCTGAGCAATGATCTTGAGGCACCGGATAACAGGCAGTGGCAGGGTCTTCAGAGGGAGCCAAGGAGGCCGGCTTTGCCGGTACAATTCACCCCCCACCCCGGCCCTGCCCCCCAAGACCTCTTGAAAGGGGGTGGAAGGAACAATGGGTCAGAGTCCCAAGAGAAAATGGTCTGGAACAGGTTCTTTACCTGAGAAGACGAGAACATGCCACTAAAACTAAGGAAGGACTGTGAGAATTCTCATTCTCCATGTGATCCCTGTGTATTCTTAGTTTATTTGACTACTTATTTAATTTAAAATATTTTTACCCTGCCTTGTTCCTTTAAAAAAGGACCCAAAGCAGCTGACAACATTAAAAGACAGTATTTAAACCCCCAAAACGCAAGCATACAAAGACTACAATGTTGTCCGGGCACGGAATTGTGGACTTATCAGTAACAGAGACAGAAAAGATGGAAGGATTTGAAAAGTGGCCTTTTTTTAATCGCAGGGTGAGGAGAGAATTCTTGGGTAGAGAGGGTGACTGCAGAAGAAATACCAAGATGAATGAATAGTGGTGAAGAAAACACAAGACCTGTAAAAGACAGAAAGCTAGAACACTTTGGTTGCTCATTAAGAAACCAGAAGTACAAATTGTTATAGTGGCCAATGCAAGACCAAGTGGAGGAAGGAGAACGTGGAAGACTGGTTTGGAAGGGGAAAAAAATTGGTTGTTCAGAGCTTTCATGTGTAAAGACATGTTAGCCCTGGTGACCTTGAGCCTCTGATAGGAAGGAGCGAAACAAAAAATCACATCAGCCCAGGAAAAGAGTCCCTCCCAGTCAAACAAAGTATGGATAGCATGCAAGGTTGCAAACCAAGCTCTTAACTGACCCCTCTTTTTTTGCACCCTCTCCACCCCAGGTTCTCAGCCTTGCACCACGCTGCCCTCAACGGCAACACGGAACTCATCCTGCTGCTGCTGGAGGCTCAGGCGGCGGTGGATATCAAGGACAACAAAGGCAAGCAGGGACGCGTAGGGTGGGCCACCCGGGGCCTGGCGAGAGGGGTGGGGCTTGTGAAAAGTAGGTGGGGCTTATCGGGGATCACAGATGGCGCGTGCAGGTGGGGTGTGGAAGGGGGGGAACTGGATGATGATGGTAGATTGTGCCACTTCCCAAATCTAAAAAAAAAATCTAAAAAGCCCAAGAGGTGAACCTAGGGGGGGGAACTGGATGATGATGGTAGATTGTGCCACTTCCCAAATCTAAAACAAACAACAAAGTCTAAAAAGCCCAAGAGGTGAACCTCACAAAGTGCAGAAGGCGAGAGATGGGCTGGGGTTCAAAACGGCGTACGTGAGGTGCCGAGCCACGTCCTGTGTTTTGAGCCTTGGGACCTCTTCATGACATGAATCGGAAATAAATTCGGAACACGCCATTCAATGCGTGGGACCTTCATGTCCCTTGCAAACAGCATCATAGGCCACGTCCTTGCTTGGCAGACTAACTTTGGTTTGTACAAACTGCCATTTCCTCTATTCAGACAAACTGTGGTTTGTTCCAAGCTTGTGGCTGTACGCTTGGGTGCTCCTCTCCCACCTTCCCTTGGGAAGTTTGCTTTTCCTTTTGGAGTGAGCGGTGCCCTCCTCCACCCTCCCGGGACTAGATGGTTTGCTGATCTCCACCACCACCCCAATTTCTCGTCCTCACTCTTTCCCCCTCTGCTCCTTCAGGGATGCGACCTTTGCACTACGCTGCCTGGCAAGGGAAAAAGGAGCCCATGAAGCTGGTGCTGAAGGCCGGCTCGTCTGTGAACGTCCAGTCTGATGAAGGGCAGATCCCACTGCACCTGGCCGCGCAGCACGGGCACTACGATGTGGTAAGATTGGGTGGGAAGCTGCCCTCTGCTCCTCACAAGGTTGGCTTTTTAGGGGGGGAGAGAGCCTTTCCTGAGCCCAGGAAAATCTCTTTTTTTCCCCTCCTGGATGTTTTTGGGTGTCGCCTGTTCTTTTACATAGAGGAGGGTCACCCTCTCTCAAAGCCCGACTCAAAAAATCAAAACTGGAAAACAAACCTTGGCTCTCTTCCTGTTTAGATTGTTTTCCTACAGTGGCTGTGGATTGGTACTCCGAAAGGCTAACTCTTTCCCCTCTTTGCATGATGGAGAGGATCTGCTTGGCTTTTTCCTCTCTCCTTTTACCTCCCTCTCTTTCTTTCCCCTACAGTCCGAGATGCTCCTTCAGCACCAATCTAACCCCTGCATCCTGGACAACTCCGGCAAGACTCCCCTGGACCTGGCGTGCGAGTTTGGGCGTGTTGGGGTAAGTGTGGCCCATGGGTAAATGTGCCCTGGTGGAAAAGGCAGCCAGATGTTGGCGGGGGGGGGGAGAGTGTGCACGGCATTCTCCAAGGCAGCTCTGAGGAGCCAGTATCCATTTGGGAGCAACCCACTGGTTTTTGGACGCCATCCCAGGTGTGCTCCCCTCACCACCCTTCCCTGCTTCCTCCCTGCCCTGGGAGGGGCAGGTGCTTTGGCATCTCCATCTGGGGCACCCCCTCCAGCCTCTCCTCTTGGCCCCACAGGTGGTGCAGCTGCTTTTGAGCAGCAACATGTGTGCTGCCCTCCTGGAGCCCAAGCCGGGGGACATCACCGACCCCAACGGGACCAGCCCTTTGCACCTGGCCGCCAAGAACGGGCACATTGACATCATCCGGTGGGTCCCTCCTCTCCTTGCTCCTGGAGACGTTGCAGCCGGGAGGCGTGTGCAGATGCTGGGGCCGGCGGGCGGCGGGACAAACGCTAAGGAAGAGCTGGGGTCCTTTCCTAAAAGGGTGGCTTTTGGGGGGGGAAGGGGCTGCTCCCCACATCCCAGCCTCAAGTTTTTCCACCGCCAGGAGGACCCGGTCTGGAGGGGATTGCGTCGCTTGGTGTAATTTGGGGATGGGTCCTGATTCACCATCGAACGCCGTCGATGCACCTGAGCAATAGGCTTTAAATCCGATCGACTGCCCTCGTGATCTCACTCACGACTCAAGACTTGATTTAATAACGGGGAGAGGGGTGAGGGGCCAATGGGGGTTGATTCTGAACCCAGTGGGCACCCGTGGAGAAGGGAGCAGGATCCCTCCCCGACACCTTAAAGCAGCTCCTGCCCAAGGGCTCCCTCGCTGCTAGACTTGCACCCGCAACTCACAAAGCCCTGCTGCTCCTGACGGTCGGTCGGTGTGGATCTCTGACATCCCCCCCCCCATCACCCTCTGTGCTCCCTTTCCACACGGAATTGTCTGCCGCCCCTGATTTCCTGCCAGGGTGTCAAAGGTTGAGATTGCAAATCCTCGCAAGGCTGGATCCAGGTTTCCTTTCTTGGGGAGGGAGGGAGGCTGGCTGGCTGCTGCTGCTTCAACCCAGGAGCCACCCGGGCCAGAAGGGGGGGTGGCTGCTCCCACCCGTCAGCTGCCCCCCCAGCACAGGATGGGCTTAATCCGGGACTTGCATCTCAGCACGAGATGTGAACCAGGCCGGCGCTAATCTTGTGCTCTGGCAGCTTGCGGGTGTCGGCCAGCCAGCCTCTTCCATGCCGCCAAGGGGGCTTCCGGTGGCTTGTCTGGATGTCATTCGGCCACAGATCAGGGTCCCCAATGGGAGGAGGTGGTGGGAGGAAAACAGGGCCCCCTCCCCTCCCTTTCCTGCTGGGGAGGGGGTCAGCACACTCAATGCAGAGAGGCAGGGAGTCTCGTGGGGGTGGTGGTGGTGGTGAGGCCAGTCTGGATCCCGTTGCAGCCTCACCTCTTGTGAGATGAGCCGGGTCCTCTTTTTAATCCAAATGGCTTGAGGGCCGGAGTTTCCCAGCCTGCACTTCAGGGCAGAGATTCTTACGGGACTGATGCGACACAGGAGGCGGCTCGGAGGGTCCCGGGGGGGCTTCTCTAAGAAATGCCTCCCTCGAGGACCTTCTGGCTGATGCGATGTGCCACTTCTTCCCTGTATTATCTTCACAAATGCCGAAGCATCCGAAGGACCCCTGCCCAAATGTTTCCTTAAAACGGCAGCTGCAAATCCACCCGACTCACTCCTCATTCGCAAGCTGGGCGCGTGAACGTGGCTGCAACTAAACAGAACCCGACGGAGAACTTCTGCTTTTATGGGCGCCCTTGCTCCTGTTTCCGGCTTCTCTGCACCCACCGTTGTCTTTTCCGGGGAGAGGGGGGCAGAGAGGTCTGTATGGGTCGGGGGCTTCCGTTTACAGCAAGCTTCCTGCCGCTGTTTTCCTGGTGGTAAAGGGATTCAGCCCCCGGCCATTTTACCTCCTAGCGGCACCTCTCCAGCAGCGCCTGTTGAGCTTCAGCCTGTCCGGCCCATCTCCTGTCGCCCAGGTGCTTCTGCCAAGATAGGGCTCCGAGCGCGCCAAGTGTCTGAGCCCTTCTTCTCATTTCTGTCCCTCCCGCTTCCTTCCTCCAAGGCTTCTCCTCCAGTCTGGGATTGACATCAACCGGCAAACCAAGGCCGGCACCGCCTTGCACGAAGCGGCGCTGTGCGGCAAGACCGAGGTGGTGCGCCTCCTCCTGGATGTAAGCGTGCCTCTCCCCCCCCCCCCGTCACCTCTCCTGCTCGTCCTTCTGCACCACCCTTGGGCTGGGTGGCCCCACTGCTTGACCCGAGAGCATCTCTCGCCTACTCTGGGCAGTTGACACAAAATGCAAAAGCCCGCCCCAAAAAAAGAGGCTGGTTTCTCCCTGTTGCTTGGAAAGGGGGTGTTAAGGGTGAGGGGGGGCGGGCAATGCAAAAGCCCCCCCCCAAAAAAAGAGGCTGGTCTCTCCCTGTTGCTTGGAAAGGGGTTGTTAAGGGTGAGGGGGGGGCGGGCTGTGCCTTGTCTTCCCAAACTATAGGACTGTCCCTGCTTCCTTTTTGCTCCCAATTCGGCTCAGTGTTTGGGGCAGCCCTTCCTAGCAAAGCCCCCCCCAGGGCTCCCCGCACACCCTTCACACACCCCGCATGTGTGCTTTGCAGAGTGGGATCAACGCCCACATCCGGAACACTTACAGCCAGACGGCGCTGGACATAGTGAACCAGTTCACAGCCACCCAAGCCAGCAAGGAGATCAAGCAGATGCTCCGAGGTGAGGAGGGAAGGTCTGCCTCGTGGCCTCGGCTTCTTTTTTTTTTTAGGGGAGTGGGAAGTTTTGTGTGTGTGTGTGTGGGGTGGCCCTTGTGAAGATGGCCAGGATACTTCCATTCTGCTCATTGGTTCCGTTTGCTGTGGACTCGAGGGAAAAGGCAGGCGAAAGCCCCCTTTGGCCTCAGATATAGATATATATATGTCAGGCTTGGGAATGAATCATCATGATCGTAAAATATATACAATGCTTTGCCTCCCTCTAGTGGTACCGAATCTACGAAATGCAATCAGCATCCCAAATCTGGTGTTTTCTCTATACGCTCAAAGTGCTTCACGTCATGTTATCCCCCCCCCCCAAATGGTTGCGATGGTTTTTCTGGGTCGCTATCCCTGTTCTGCCGATATATGGGCTACGGATGATGGCACAGCATCCTTTCACCTAGTTGGTTGCACCCTCATCCCCGTGGCTGATGGTTCCCACCCCTCGCTTTCCAGTTAGGACATTTATCCCATCTCTTGCAGTTGTCTCAGAACGGCCATCTTGATGTTTGAGCATTTAACCGGCCGGCGCAAATCTCAGCAAGGATTTGCAGCCGGTTGAGAATCTGAAGCGTCTGCTTCAGACCCCATGGACCATCAAATCCGGCCCCGCTTAAGGAGGCACGGGCAGTTGGGGGGGGGACTCGAACCCCCAATCTTACAGCTTGATTTCTGGGGGAATTGCACTCCCAGGGTCATGTTTCTTGGGCAAACAAGAATAAAAGAAATCAGTGGGTTCCCTCCCGCCCTTCTTCCTTGGGGGCCGTGATGCTCACCCAGGTAACAGGTTGTACACAACGGTCTGCACTTCTTCCTTGCCCGATATATGGGCTACGGATGATGGCACAGCATCCTTTCACCTAGTTGGTTGCACCCTCATCCCCATGGCTGACAGTTCCCACCCCTCGTTTTCCAGTTAGGACATTTATCCCATCTCTTGCAGTTGTCTCAGAACGGCCATCTTGACGTTCGAGCATTTAGCCGGCCGGCGCAAATCTCAGCAAGGATTTGCAGCCGGTTGAGAATCTGAAGCGTCTGCTTCAGACCCCATGGACCATCAAATCCGGCCCCGCTTAAGGAGGCATGGGCAGTGGGGGGGGGGACTCGAACCCCCAATCTTACAACTTGATCTCTGGGGGAACTGCACTCCCAGGGTCATGTTTCTTGGGCAAACAAGAATAAAAGAAATCATTGGTTTTTTCCCCCCTTCTTCCTGGGGGCTGTGATGCTCACCCAGGTAACAGGTTGTACACAACGGTCTGCACTTCTTCCTTGCCATCTTCTCTCTTTAGATGCTTCTGCAGCCCTGCAGGTGAGGGCCGTGAAAGATTATTGCAACAATTATGACCTGACCAGCCTCAACGTGAAAGCCGGAGACATCATCACGGTGAGTCCCCTCTTGCATCGTGTCTTCTGCCTCAGGGCAGCTGAGACCCACGAGGAGGAGGAGTGGGGTGGAAGACCGAGGCACGAGCAGCGGAAGGCCGACCTTCTCCTGGGACGGGCGGTGCTCAGGGTTCTTGGCGCCACCTGCCAGCACGCACGCCCGGCTGCCCCTTTCTGTGGCTGGAGGGGATTTGGGGGTCTGAGCCCCCGCCCAGCCGTGTACTGCTGCCGCCGCTGGCACGAAGCGTGACGTGAGGGTTTGCCTTTGAGCATGGGCAGAGGCCATAACTAGAGGTGCCTGGATCTGAGACGAGGAAGAAGAAAGGCCATCAAAAGACTACCTTTTGATCTGGATTCCTGCCCTGAGCAGGGGGTTGGACTTAGAGATTCCTTCCAATGTCACAATTCTACGATGCCATGATCTTCTGAACCCGGGTTCAAGGAGGCACAGAAGGAGGCTTGAAGGTTCACAGGCCTCCTTTTGGGAAGCTGGTAAACACCAGCCCGGCTGGGGNTCCCACACCCCCACCCCGCCTGCCCGCCCGCCTCCAGGTTTTGGAGCAGCACGCAGATGGTCGGTGGAAAGGCTGTATCCATGACAACCGGACCGGCAATGACCGCGTCGGCTACTTCCCATCCAGTCTGGTGGAAGCCATCAGCAAACGCACAGGCAAATGGCTGCTTCTCCTTATGGGCTCCTGCAGGGAAAAGGCTAGGATTTCCCCCCACCCCGCCTGCCCGCCCGCCTCCAGGTTTTGGAGCAGCACGCAGATGGTCGGTGGAAAGGCTGTATCCATGACAACCGGACCGGCAATGACCGCGTCGGCTACTTCCCATCCAGTCTGGTGGAAGCCATCAGCAAACGCACAGGCAAATGGCTGCTTCTCCTTATGGGCTCCTGCAGGGAAAAGGCTAGGATTTCTGCCCAAGGCAGTTTAGGGTAGAGAGGGGAGACTGGCCTATGGGCTGGGGATGATGAGTGTTGTAATCCGCTACCTCTGGAGGGAATCAGGTCAGGCGAACGTCATGCTCTTCTTGGCCAGTGGTTTTAGCCTGTGTTCCAACTTGGGGCCACGAGCCCCCCCCCAAGAGCCCCTTCCGCATGACGGACGGATGGCTGTTTGGGACCACGTGAGCCGCCAAGCAAGGGACCGTCGCTGGAGGGAGCGCCCAGCCGCGTCGTCTCTGCTTCACCTGACCTCTTGTTATCTTTCTCCCCGTCAGGTTCATGGGATGCGGGCCCTCCCCTGGGGCCGTTCCAAGCCATCTCCCTCCCGCTGGCTGGCCGGGCCTCGGTGCCCAACGGCCACTCCTGCCTCATCCTCTCCTCCTCCTCCTCTTCCTCCTCCATCATCACCACCTCCTTCACCTTCTCCCATCATCCGGTCCATTTCCTGCCTCCACCAAACCCCAGGCAACCTCTTTTCAGTTCCTTTGGCTACCACAGGCTCCCGCACGGGGCGGTGGAAGGGCCTGGCGCCGACCCAGGTAGACCATCCCTTGCTTTTACCATTCATTTTAAGTTTGCCCTTGATGTGCATTTGTTCCCAGCATGTATGTGCTTGTTTTGCTTTTCATCCTGCCCTGTATACCCACCTCTCCTTGCCGTGTGCAAATATTCGGGAACGAGTGTGTAAGGAAAATTGCTCCCCTGTTATCCTGTTTGTTAAGACTGTGCCAAGCGCCACTTGTTTGTAGGGAAGTAACGCAGGCAGGAGCGCAGCTTCCCTGGTCCAAGGCGTTTCGATTCCAAAGTTTAGGTCCATCATGGAAATCCTGCAAAGTGGGATTTAGCTTGAGGTCTGGGGTAGATGAAAGAGACCCTCAAACCAGGACCCTGATATACATGATCTCTGTTTGTAACCTAATCATGGAGTGTTGTTTGTAAGGTTGGTAGTAGCCTGTGGCTACCGTTTGCCTTTGAAAAAACACTCATATATCTCCTTGTGCCTTCTACACACGAGAAGTCCCAGCTGGGGCAGCCGTTTCTGCAGACCTCAGGACCAGCAGGGAATCAAACCCGGCTCTTAAGAAGAGGAGCAGAGATCTGAAAGTGCCGAAGCGCAAGGGAACAAAAATAGATGTGCAGGCTTTTGAAAACATGCATTTTTCCTCCCAGAGGGAACGTTTGTGTTTACTCCTTAGTATCAACTTCCATATATTGCTTGCAGAAGGAGTATAAACGGAGCATAAACCAGAATCTGCAACTGTTTTTTAGACAATGAAAAATTCTTAGGAGGTATAGTCTAGGGAAAAACGCCTCGTGTTTCTGTGCCTCTGGTGTAAACTTTCCCATTCTTGGCCACTCTCCAAAGCCGACTGCAGTAGTGCCACCAGCCTGAGAAAATGTATTTGGGCTTTTTCCCCCCTAAATGGAAGGGTTTGTGTGTGTTTGTGTGTGTTTCAGGTTGTTGCAGGCCAGCCTTACTAAATTCAGGCAGGCAAGCTGAGACAAATTTTATGCAGGCGGAAAAGGGGGCAAGCTTTTTTTAAAGAAGTGAATATGAGTGTAAGCATTTAATGATCTGTGTACGTATCTGGTTTTGAGTCTGTGATTGTTTTAATGATTCGGGGGCTGCTTTGAGTCTCGCCACCGGGGAGAAAGGCACACGAGTGCGTGCATCCATCCATCCATCCACCCCATTAGGGGTCCGAAGCATCACGTTTTGCTAACAACAGGGTGCAAAGGGCTCCGTCAAGAGCTTTACCAGGAAAAAAAAAAGAACGAGGGGAGGTTTTAAGCTCTGGATGGAGGCAGCAGAGTAGTTGGGAGCAGGCAGAAGAGGCCAGCTTTCAGTGAGGTGTTCCCGAAGCCGTGAAGATGGCGAGGGCCAACTGAGTGCAAGCCACGGGTGCATAAGCTTGCCTCTTTCCCTGCTGAGAGCCATTTGAGCCTTGGTGTGTGTGTGTGAGAGAGGGTACATCTGCATCCCACCTTCCTTAACCTCCCCCTCCCTTCCAAGCCCTCCCCACTCCTCCTTTTAGCCTCGGGACGTTTGTTCAAGAGGGCACACCAATGCCCCCAGCCCCCACCCCAAAAAAACCCCACTTGGTGCCAAAGGCCTCGGCGTGTTCCAACCCTGGTGGCATCTCCTTGTGAATGGAAAAGTTCCCGTTTCTCTAATCCAAGGTTGGGCAAAGGTTAAGGGCCCACCTTCCAGCCCCGTCAGCCCCAAACCCTTGCAACTCTCCCCCTGCTGAAAGAAGAATCAAACGAGTCGCAGCTCGGAGTCTCCATCCTGCTTCATTTCTTACAAATGTGCACATCTGGAGACAAAATGAAGGCCCTGAAGATGGGGAGATGGCCTTGTTTGAAGGCAAAATTACCCAGCAGGAGGTTTCTACTCTGCAAACATAGCCTTTGAAGCCTTTGAAACTCCCAACCTTCCTTTAAGGGCTCCAGCTGTGGCAGGGGGGGGGTCATCTCCATGAAATTAGGATTTATTTAGGGCACTTGGTCTGTTGCAGCAGTTTATTGCTACGGCGGCTTGGTTGAAAAGGAAAAACGGGGAGGACCTGGTTTGAAAGGCAGGGAAGTCCTCACGGGCATGGAAAGCAGGTGGGCCCCCACCGTGGGGGTCTTTGGAGGCTAGTGGCCCACAGCCCTGACGTGTGACTGGTGAAAAGGGCAGCTGGGGGGGGGGGTTAATGCCAGGATTCTCCTCTACTGGCCTTGCCCCGGTGTGAGCGAGCAGCAGAAACAGGGAGAGAGACGGTCATCTCCATGTTGTAAAACTTGGGCAGGAGATGCAGGATGGAAACCAGAGGTCTTTGTTGATTATGGGGGGGGGATGCACATCACATAGAGATACAGGCAGAGATGGACAACCTGACTTTACTGAGGGGCTGCTTCCAAAAATCCACAGCCCAGGGCATCTCACTGGGATTATGGATGTTACAGTCCAAAAAAATCAGTGAAATAATTCCCTTCTGTAGCTCCCATAGCGATCAACCCTCGGTAGCCATGTGCACTGAAGATCTACCCTTGAGGAACAGAGGCCGGGGACACTTAGCAAAGAGGGGGCAGAAGTGGCGGGCTTCCCTTGTAGGCATCTAAGAGGTTTTTGGGGTTTTTTGCTGCTGTTGGGCAGATTGACCTGGCTCTGGTTGAGCCCTGTTGTTTTGGATGTTCCCGAGGATGTGTGTAGGAACGGAGGATGTGAACGGTGAGGGAAGGTTTGGGAATCCTTGCATATCCTGCAGAGATGTTGAGAGTGTGCAGAACTCTTTGGCCACCCAATGCAACCAGCAGTGGTCCCTCCTCTAGAGATTTAGAAGGGACTCAAGGGGTCAAACTAGACATTAAACAGAATGTCTCTTCCCATCAGGTTTCCCCTCCCACAGTGAGATGTCCTCCAAGAGAACAGTGCTTCAGCAATCAGACTTGTAAACAAAACCCATCTTTACCTTCCCATCCCCAATCACAAAGTGAAGCACGTTAAATACAAAATACAGAGATGTGGGGGGGGGGGGAAGACATGCTATGAAAAGCAGATGCAATTTGCCATTTAGGGAGCACTGCTGTAAAAAGCAGGCTAAAGATATTGTCTTGTTTGAAGGGAGTTTATGCTCTCCCCAGTGAGGCCCCCCACAGCCCACTCGCACTCCTCATGAAATAAGCTGGATGAGGACTGAAGTTGGGAGGGGGTGAGGGGAAGGTATTTTCACCGCGACTGCACCCCCTCCCCACAGACACCAGCATTTTTTTTCATGGGTCCTTGGGCCTTATCTCACCTGATCTGTCTTTTTTTTTTTTGCTGGGGTGGCATTGGTTGTCCTTTGACCCTGAAGGTTCCCGAGGCTCTGACGCCAGCCCATCCCACTTGTCGCCATCACCAGGCGGATCGGCCACCACGCCAGCCGCCGCAGAAGAGATCTGGGTGCTTCGCAAACCCTACGCAGGTAAGAGGAAGAGCGGCCGCCACCGAGTTGGCTGGGTCTTGGCCCTCCGGGCGTGGGAGGGTGGCTGGGGGTTGATGTGACGGCATCCCCACCCGCTCTTGGTGGCGCTGTCTGCATCAGTAGGAGGCCTCTGGGTAAATCTCCTGGGCAGTTCAGCTTCTGATGTGCCATGCGCAGTGTCCAAGTCCTCTGGTCCCCCCACCCACCCACTGTCGCTTTTGCTCAGCTTCTCAGTATCCCTCCCTTTTGATAGGTGGGGACCGCAGCAGTGTGGGCAGCACTGGAAGTGTGGCCAGCGGACGGAGCTCGGGGAGCGGGCAAAGCACTGCAAGCGGCGGCCACGCAGCCCTTCATCCGGGTTCAGAAGGCGTTAAGGTGAACCAAGCCCTGATCTTATGGAAGTGAGGATGACTGGCGCCAGGGGAGGGGGGAGGACATCAAACGGAGCTTTGAGAAGGACATTGTTGGAGGGTGAATATATTCATAAACTTCAGTATGTACGTAGAGGCTTAAACAGTGATTGGGGCTTCTTAGTAAAAGACATGCATTAACAAGCCCATTTTTCACAAGAGCCACCCCTCTACCCAAAAGGTTGTGTTCTTTTCCATGATATCTCTGGCTTCTGCACAGACACTATTGCTTCCATATTTCGAAGCCTAAGAGTCGTGCATTTAGCCTACAGTGGCTTTGCATTCAGAAATTAGGATACCTATTGCCAAAACGCTTACACACTCGGGATGCCAAAATTTCACAGCTAGTGCTTGCAATGCAAGTGTCCTCTTTGTTGCATTTCCCTGGGTCCCCTTCTCCACAGCTGGGCCCACGTTCCACTGTGGCCGCAATACTGCACCCCTGACACCTGCAGAAGGGGGTTTGCAACCCAGAAATCCTCTCACTGCAATCTGTTAGTACTAAAAGTTTTTCTTTTTCTTTTCAATTTTGCTTTGGTGTTTTCCTTTTCTTTTCTTAAAATGACAGTTTGTAGAAGGGTCAAAGCCTGGAGGTGGTGCCAAGTTGGGTTGTAACAACGAATCACAACAACAGCATCTTCCATTAGCTTCACCCTGAGCTTTCTGGGCTTGATGGAGTGGAATTCTGGGCACATAAATTAAAACCAGGTCCTGCCCAAGAAAGGATTTTTGGAGGCAGTCCTTAGGAGGAGATGGGCAGATGGGGGGGGTGAGGCATGGGGCGACCCCCATCCCGGGCTGCCCCCTTCCTTCCAAAAGCCTGCATCGATTGGGGTCACCTTCTCCCAGAGATCTGGGCAGGGCCCCCCTTCTGATCCTAGCTAAAAAGAGGGCCAGAAGGAGGGAAAGCTTTTGCTCCCTCTCCCCCCTTCTACCGGCTCTCCTTCTTCCGTCCACCTCTTCGCTTCCTCGGGCTGCCCGGGCGGCCCCTTGTGAATGCCAAGCAGGCAGCTCCACTGTGCCCCCGGGCGTGCCACTTTGCCAACGGAGCCGTTGCTCAGGGACAGAAGTGCCGGCCTCTCCTTTTGTGTGTGTGTGTGTCCCTTTTTCGTGTGCGCTCTCCCTCCTTCCCCCTCCCACCTCTAACCAACAGCCTGCTTCTCTCTATTTTGCCTCCTCCTCCTCCTCTCCCCGTTTCTCAGCTGCTGGCAACGGTCCTTTCCCAGAAGGCGTTGGTACAAGAATCTGCCGTGGGTGACGGGTCCGCCAAAGCTGCCGATGCGCCTGCAGGTGCGTGGATGCTCCGTGGTCGGGCTCTGCCCGGTCCGGAGCTCTTTTTCCCCCATTTCCTTGACGAGGGGCTGCTCCTGCTCCAAGATCCTTCTTTCCTTCCTTCTTTCTGAGCTAACCATGACCCTCCCGCTCTGCTGCTGCCAGGCCTTCGCTTGCTTTGGTTAGTAAGGGGAAAGGGATGGAGTGCGGGAAGCGGGTGGGTGGGCTGCTGTTGGGGATGGGCAGAAGGGTGGGATCAGGACCCTGAACTGGCTGCCTGGCGGTTGGCCTGCCTCCCCAGGAGGATCCGGGAGGCTTCGGGGAGGCACAGATCTGTTTATGGCAAGGGGGCGGTGGTGGTCTTCTCTCTGTCTCTACCCAACCCTTCGGGTATCTGGATTCTGCCCCTCACCTCTACTTGGAAGAAGGGTCTGGGTGTCTTCTTGTTTCGGTCATGATAGTTTGTGCTCCTTTTGGCCTCCTGGGGAAGACTCAGCTCCGTCGCCTTCCTCAGAGCCCCCCTGGGATTCCCCAAGGACCCCATTCCCAAACCCACTTTATTTTCTTCTTCTGGAGGAGGAACCAATAGCTTGGTGGCAGAAATACCTGAAGGGACAATGTCTGGCTGATGGAAGGGACTCTGCGAGGAAAGAGAGAGGGAGGGAGGTGTGTGTGCGTGTGTGCGGGGGGGTGTTGGGAAGTGGCAGATGGTGCTCCCTTGATGTGCCGGCGTCTTAAGGGCGATACAGCGTGTGCCTGTTCCTGTCAAAGTCTCAGGCAGATTGGTTCAGACGCTCAGTTTGAGGGAGGCGGGGAGGCGGTGGCAGGCTTGATTTTGGGAGCAGTACAGTGTCCGGTCTTCTCCACGCGCTTCAAAGGGCCCAGCCGAGGATCTGCACGGTGATGGCGTGGAAGGCAAAGCCCGCTGTCTTTTCCTGGCTCCCCACCCCTCCCCAGGTCTTCGGCCACAGGGCCTGGGCAGCACAGAGTCCCTCAGGGGCTTCCTGATCTTGGTGGAGCCGGAAGAGTCCGGGTGGATCCCTAGCTGATGATGAGCGGGGTGGGATCCTGCCAGTGAGGTTTCAAGGTCACCTTCAAAGGCCACCGTGGTTATCTTCCACCTGTGTCCTGCTGTCCTGCCAGGTGACTCTGGTGACGTTGGCGTGAAAAACCTGGTCTTTTCGTGTTGCTCCTCAGTATTTAGGCCAGCTTCCCCTTCTCCCGGGATTAAAGCAAGGGAAACACTATGCAGTCTGTCTGTTTTTCCACCACTGAGGCTCCCAGGAGACCAGAGATCCTCTGTGTCTGCCTGAGATCTTGTGCAGCCACTCAACCAGACGGAGAGATTCTGGGTCCTGGGCTTGATCTGGGCTTGGCACTCCATCCAGCATTAGGTCAGACCTTCCCATTTTCAGCCCCTCCCGTCCCCACCAGCAGATGCTACCTTGGCACGCTGCTGCTGCTAGCGCAGAAGACGCCAGCTGTGCCCTTGGCATGCTGGGTACCGTGGGCCTGTGGCCTGGCTTGAGTGCTTGGAAAACATCTCGTGCTCAGGTGCCGGCCTTTCCCTTCTTTCCTGCCCGCTTTGTGCCAGGTTCTTCTCGGACCCCGAGTTTGAGCGGCGCATCGTACCCGAGTCAGCCTTCCCATGGCGAGCAACCGCTCAAGAAGGTGGAGCCAATGTCGGAGGGGAAAGTAAGTTTGGGAAACTGCTAGAATGGTTTGGGAAGCAGATAAAACAGTGCAGGAGAGAGAACTGCTCTATTTTCTTCACTGTATTCAGGAAAAGTCAATCCTGCCCTTTTAAGGCTATTTTGCTGGCAGGTAGACTAGGCTTCTGGTTTTATTGGGATGTTGAGACCTATCAGCCACTGTCGAGTGAGAAATAGCGGCTCATGGATGGAACAGGATGGACAGACAGGCACGTTGTAGACTTCGGAAACAGTATTGTCACGGCTCACATAAAAAATGCATGTTTAGGATCAGATCCCAGCTTGCAGCTCTTATGTAGTCGTATACCCTCCACGAGATTTCTTTATTTCAGCTGCATTAGCATAGTGGGAAAAGCAAGGGGCCCTTCTGCGCCATTTGGGTTTGGAGGCTCAACACTCTGGTGCCCAAAGCTCACCTCCCACTGCTTGCAAAGTGTGCCTTGCGCCCACTGCAGTGTGTTCCATGCGTTGGGATGAAATCGTTTCGTGCCTGTGAACGTCTAGCCAAGGGCGGCGGCAGTGTGTTTGTGTGTGAGTGAAGGGAATGATGGTCAGGGAATAACTCTCTCGACTCCTCTCAGAGCTCCGAGGCCGTCTACCAATGGCTGTGCAAGTTCCAGCTGCAACTCTATGCCCCCAACTTCATCAACGCTGGGTATGACATCCCCACCATCAGCCGGATGACACCCGAGGTGAGGATGGTACGGCTGGAGGTGGGGGGGGTGGGCTTCGGGAGGCTGGTGCTTTTGCTGGCATTCTGGCCTCTGCACACCTCAATGGTCTCAAGCACGACAGCAGCTCGTGGTCTCTTTTTTGTCCATCTGGACTTTCTGACATGTTGTTGTAAGGCTGTCCAGCAGTGCACGGGAGGCCACCTAACAGATCTATAAGAACACCACACAGCTCTTCAATCTCCATTTCCCTCAGTATCCAAATTCTTGGGTAGTGTTTTCATCTGGGCTGTCTTCGCTGAAATCAACCATGGATTTTCGCCTGTTGTGAGTCAGGCTGATGCAAGTGGAGCCCAAAGTTATCTGGGGAGCAAATCTGTCACACACAGACCACACAGCCGTCATCTTGATGCCACCCCTCTTGCTGCTCAGTCCTGTTGTCCCTCGGGGGCATCTGGCACTCCCCCTTCTGCGACCTCACCTAGAAAGAGCAGGTCTGAAGGTGGCATCCTGACCAAGGATGTACGCTCAGTTCTTAGCACCTCTAGGCAGGGCTGGGAAAGAACAGTGGCCCACCTAGGCAGGAGAATCTATAGTTGAGGCACTACAACTCTCATTGTTCCTGGTTGCCTGGGGTGAATGGAAACTGCGATCCAAAGCATGGCGGGGTCAAGTTTCCTTGGCTTAGGTGTTGTCTGGATCTCCAGATAATGTCTCCAGGTGGAACTACAGAATTTCCTCCAGGAACAATGGGTGGTTGCTACAACAGGTATGGGCAACCTGTGGCATTCTGTACTTTTAGAAATAAAATTAAACACACTTAAGCTGTCGCCACCAGCACGCACGAACAGACTGACGAGGACTGTGCATGCTCCACAGCCACAAGATATGGAGGGTCACTTAGAAAAGGGGAACGAATAGAGCAGGTGGGGGTCTGGACGGAAGTCTGTGGAGCACAGTGTGGGCCAAGTGGGATGTAGTTCATCCAACACCAGAGGCTTTGGCACGGTGCGCTGCTCCTTGGGTTTTCCCTTTGCGACGTCTGCTTTTGGTTTCTTGCGGTGCAGGATTTGACGGCCATCGGGGTCACCAAACCGGGACACAGAAAGAAGATTGCCTCTGAGATCAACAACCTCAATATTCCCGAGTGGCTCCCAGAGTACAAGCCTGTAAGTCACCTTCTCGCAGACCGGCTTTGCTGGAACGGAGAGATCATAATCTCAGGCTGGACACCTTGAATTGATGATACTCGGCAAGCGGAACCTGCAAGGGGGGGGGCAACTGAGACACATAGCTGTGTTGATGGTTGCTCAGAGGTCACTGCACCAATGCCACACTGAACATCTTAAGCACTGCTTGGGCATCACATGGCTTTTCTGAAACGTATTTCTGAAACAGAAGGATAGTGGCAATGGGGTGCTATAGGGCCCAGCGATCCTGTTGCTTAGTGCTTAGCCGCCTTCTATAAATTCCAGTCATCTGTCATTCACCTTCTGCGAGGTCCCTGCAGCTTTAATTAAAACCTTCCTTTTATTGCTTCCTGTTTAGCACATACTGGATTTTTGACAAAGTGCCTTTTAAATGTCACAGATGTTCTTAGGGTTAGATGGGACTAATATCTCCTTTAAAAAACAAATTAGTGTCTTGCATTTTAAAAAAATCCCTGAAATTTTACCTGCAAGTAAAACCTCAAAAACAGAAAGGGAATTTCAATTGAGGGACTTCATTAGTAATACTCCTTCCCTGCTCAAAAAAGATAGGATGAAGTGTAGAAGCTGCCAGCAGAAAGCTTTTAATTAAACACGCACAAGCCTTGAAAAGGCTAAATAGCCCATCTGTAGTGGATACTGGTGTTATAAATGTGTTTTAAGTGGAGAGAAAAGACCTAACTGCCCACCTCGCCAAACCGGTCAAGGCCCATGCAGGAAACACTAGAAGGGATCAATTTGGGAACCCCTTCCCTAGAATTGTCCTGTCTTTGCCAAGGCAATTCTAGGCTCAGCTGCTGAAGTGGAAGCAGCCTGCAAGAAGGGATGGGGGTATCAGCAAAATTGCTGAATCCGGGGGGCTAGGTCTTCAACTACAATGTGGCTCAAGGAGTCTCTTCTTTATTTATTTTCATTTTGAATGCTCGTTTTTAAAACATTTGGTTTGTCTTCTTGCCCTCTCAGGCTAATCTGGCTCTCTGGCTCTCCATGATTGGGCTGGCCCAGTATTACAAAGTCTTGGTGGAAAACGGCTACGAGAACATTGATTTCATCACTGACATCACTTGGGAAGACCTGCAAGAGATTGGCATCACCAAACTGGGTGAGCGGAGGAGGCTGGTCCTAGGCAGCCCCCCAGCCAGGCCCAGCTTGCATTTCTGGGCCTGCATTAGTTCCAGTTCCAGATCTAGCCAATGACTGAGATAATCTTACTGACGTTGTCCACTTCTGGTCAAAAAGAGTCTAGTTATCTTTGTTTTCGACTGTACCTGTATTTCACCTAGGTCCATAATTTTAAATTGTGCAGCGCTCTGATACGAAGAAAGTAAGTAAGGGAAGGGCTGAATCCTCAAATCAAGGGCCAGGATGAAAAAGGCGCCTTGGGCCAGTAGAGGTCACCTGCACTGAGAAGGCTTGGTCTGAACAAAGCCGGGCTCATGTTGAGCCTTCAGGGGTGACAAGTGATGCCACGTCAAATCACTCTGTCTAGTAAAGAGGCTGAAATGCTGCCTCACTATCTCTACAAGCCAAGCCATGTGCCTCAGAGGAGGGGAATGGAGGCGATTTTCTGTCCTTAAAGGTAGAGAAGAGTGACCTTTAAGAAGGAAAGACAAGGGATGGTCTGTGGTGGGTGAAGTGGAAGAACCGAGCCCAGCACTGGGCAGGGAGGGGCTTGTGGTCCTCCTCGAACGATGACCATGATGGCAACCAGACTGCAGGATGAGAAGGGAAGGGGGTTTCGTGGCAATAATCGCTTGGTTTGTCCTAAATGCCTGGGAGGGGGCGGAGAAAGGAGGAACATGAACAGCACCCACGGAGGGCAGACAAGGTTGGGCACCAGCAAGTCCCCAGAAAGAGGTCTGGTCAGCTCAGCATTAGATAAAGGACGGCCCGCTGGGTTTTGGTGGAAAGTGCTAGCCGAGGCTGCTGAGGGTCGGTGCAAGGAGATCGGGAGGGGCGCAGGCTGCCCGTCCCTCATTAAGTAGCACCGTTTCGCAGCCACCAAAGGAACAACTGCTGTACTTCTGGGGCTGAAGGGCTAGCAGCCGAGTTGAGCCTTTTCCTGGATCTCGCTCCAGGGAAGGGAAAGAAAACAGAGGGAGGAGTGTTTTAACTCTTAGGTTAAGTGCTTGTGCCCGTTGAGAGCATCAGCTCTTAGGTGCCTCCAACTCTTCCCTCAGGCCACCAGAAGAAGCTGATGTTGGCGGTGAAGAAGCTGGCCGAGATCCAGAAGGCCGAATATGTCAAGTACGAGTCCGGGACGCTGAAGAAGAAAGGGGCGCCCCAGTCGCTGGACACGGTGGCCATTGAGTCCCCGCAGCAGGAAGCGGCCGAGTGCCAGTCGCCCAAGATGACCACTTTCCAGGACAGTGAGCTGAGCAATGAGCTGCAGGTGGCCATGACGGGCACCGGCGAGGAGGGGACAGAGAAGCAGGGGAACCACGTGGGGCATTTCCGCGAAGGGGCCGCCTACCGGCACCCCTCCCGCCTCGCCCACGAGAACAGCCTGAGCGGGCGGGCGAAGCATATGAGTAGCTCCCAGGAGCTGCTGGGAGACGGGCCCAAAGCCGCCACCAGCGCGGCAGCCATGTCCAAGAGCCAGGAGTACCTGGCCGAAGACGGGAAGGAGAGTCCGGCCACCCTGCCCAAGGAGGTGCGGACCCTCCGACCCGGGCACAGCATCAAGAGAGCGAGCGTTCCCCCCGTGCCCGGCAAACCCCGGCAATCGTTCCCCCCGGCCGCCGGCCACTACACCCCTCCGCAGACCCCCACCAAGCCCCGTCCCTCATCACCGCAGGCGTCGGGCATGCCCCACGCCACCGCCAAGGTCAAACCCACGCCTCAGCTGCTGTCACAGTCCGACCGCCCCATGTCTCCGCGCTCACTGCCTCAGTCCCCTACGCATCGGGGCTTTGCCTACGTCATACCGCAGCCCGTGGAGGGAGATGCCCACGGTGCCAGCCCCTTGGCACAAGCCGTACCGGTCCTGCCCGTCTCAGTGCCGGTGCTCTGCCTGCCCCCTCAGGCCGGCGAAGGGGAAGAAGAGGGTGGCCGGCCAAAGAAGAGGGCCCACAGCTTGAATCGTTACGCTGTCTCAGACAGCGAGCAAGAGCGGGACGAGTTGTTGGTGCCTGACGCGGGGCCCTATGCCACCGTGCAGCGCCGGGTTGGGCGCAGCCACTCTGTGAGGGCACAGTCGGGCAACGACAAGAACGTCAACCGCAGCCAATCCTTTGCCGTGCGGCCAAAGAAGAAGGGGCCGCCTCCGCCCCCGCCCAAACGCTCCAGTTCGGCCATTTCCAGCAGCAACATGACGGACGACTTCGCACGGGAAGGCGAGGATGGCCAGGAGCCTTCCCTGGAACAGCACCAGAGACGGGCCAGTGACTTTGGTGGCACTGTGGACACAGGGAGTGCCGGGAGCGTCAAGAGCATCGCCGCCATGTTGGAAATGTCCTCCATTGGTGGTGGGGCCCGAGGGCTTGCCCTCCAGAAGCCGCCTGGGGCTGGGAAGGGCCCTGATGGCTACTACCTGCAGCCTGGGGTTGCCGTGCACCCAGCCAGCCCTGAACACTCCCGTGTGGCGACCGTCCTGGCCAGCGTAAAGCACAAGGAGGCCATCGGGCCGGACGGCGAGGTGGTGAACCGTCGGCGCACCATCAGCGGCCCCGTGACTGGACTAGTTGCCGCTGCTCGCCGCGAACGCTCAGACAGCGTCAAGTCGGACACATCCAAAGAGGGCAGCCCCGTGGAGCGGCTGAGGGCAGAACACAGCGGAGGCTCCCTGCATAACAGTTCCGGGGAGAACATTCCCTTTGCAGAAGAGGGCAGCCTGACCATCAAGCAGCGTCCCCGGCCGATGGGTGTCGCCAAGGCTGAGGGTGACCTCGTCCCCCAGCGCTATGGCGACCTCTCCAAGGTGGAGGCCAGCGCCACCCTCAAGAGGAGGATCCGGGCCAAGCAGAGTCAACAGGAGGGGGTCAAGTTCATCCTCACAGAGTCGGACACGGTGAAGAGGCGGCCAAAGTTGAAAGACAAGGAGCAGGAGCCGGCCCCCTTGTCTGTCTACCAGAATGGCACAGCGACCATCAAACGGCGGCCAGCCTCCGAGATGAGCGGTGCGGAGGTGGCGCCTCCTCCCGATCAGCAAGAGAGATACAACTATCCTGCAACCCAGCCCTCTGGGGAAGGGGAACCGAAGAAGGTTGTCAAGCCGCCGGTTTCGCCCAAGCCCGTTTTACCCCAGAAAGTCTCTGGGCCTCCTACGCCCACCTCCAAAAAGGTCCCAATTCCTGGTCCTGGCAGTCCAGGTAAGAGAGGGTCTCCCTTGGAAAAACTGGGCAGGTCTTGGTTGAACAGGTGCTGCCCCGTGGAGCCAAGAAGGCCGACTGAGCCTGATGCCGGTTCTCGGCCTCTTCCTTGTGTCTGCCCATCCTTGAGTGTCTTCTCTCCCCTGCTTCCACGGGCTGCGACCAGGGTCACGTCTGGCTGCTGTAGAACATCTGTACCCATGGCTGCCTGTGTGCCAACAGGAAGCTCTCCACACAAATGCCCTGGGTAGGTGGGTGGTGGTGGTATTTGGGTTCTGCGGGCCAGAGGGTGTTGCAGCTTCCTGGACTGTTTGAAGGTGGGATCTCCCACCTGGGTCAGGTTTCTGGTGTGTAGGCTGGGGCAGGTAGACATGGATTACTTCAGTCTGTAGTTCCCTTGTCTATTCAGAACCTTGGAGATAGATGGAGATCAGAAAGTTCTCTGGACGTTTGTTGGGGTGTTTGAATGTGTGCGTCTGTTCAGCTGCCATCACAAAAACTGGCCGAGGAGTGACCTTCTTCTCTCTTGCAGAAGTCAAGCGTGTCCATGGGACTCCACCCCCGGTCTCTCCAAAGCCGACCCCGCCCCCAACTGCCCCAAAGCCGAAGGTCCACGCTGCCCTCCAGTCGGTGAGCGCCAGCTCCACCCCTGCCCCGTCGCCTGCCAAGCAGCTCATCCCGACCATCAAGCCTTCCAGTACGCCCCCCTCGCTCTGTTCCAGCCCAGCTAAGCCCTTGTCCCCTGGAGGGGTGCCCCCTCAGACAGTGCCGGTCAAGCCACCTCGCTCCTCCATGGCGGGGCCTTCCGTGGAGAGCGTCAGCAGCGAAAGCGTGCACCAGAAACTGGAGGAGACCAGCGCCTCCCTTGCTGCAGCCCTGCAAGCTGTGGAGGAGAAGATCAAGCAGGAAGACGGACAAACAGCAGAGTAAGGGCGGCCCTGGGCTGGGAGGTGGGAAAGCAGAGCCACCCCAATGGAGCCTAAGGGCAGGTTTAAGTCAGGAGACACTGGCTGGGAGGCAGGAAAGAGGGGGCAGATGGATGGGGCAGCGGGAAAGCTGGCGAGCTCTGCACACGGCTGGCATACCCTCCCAAACAGGTGGGACTGGCAAGTCCGTTCCCTCCATGCTAAGAGTTCTATGATTTAAGAAGGGAAGGGCAAACCACTTCTGTGTATTCTTCCTACCTGGGAAACCCTGAAAAGGGATCACTGAGTCAAAACTGACTTGAGAGCACCCAGTTATTATTAAATACTATGACACTTTATAAAGAATAAAGAGGACCAGTCCCTGTTTCTGGGGGCTTGCGGTACAGAAGATATCTCAAAGAGACCACAGGGGAAGAAAATGGATTTATCGGTGTTTACTGTATTGCTTAGCAGTGGTAGGGAGCGGCAAGAGCAGAGTACGGGTGGTGGGGAAGGACGGGCCGAAAAGGGAGGCGACACGGAGGGTGTGGTAGGAGTCCCCACGCCTACGGGGTGTCTCTTGTCTCCGCAGCTCCACCACAGAATCCAAGAGCACGGTCAGCATTCTGGACGACATCGGCAGCATGTTTGACGACCTCGCTGACCAACTGGACGCGATGTTGGAATGAGAGCTGGAGAACCCTCCCAGCCAACCTCAGGATCTGCCATGGGCACAAGGGCGCAATCATCTCCACGACAATCTTCTCCTTCTTCCCTTCCTCCATCTTTTGAGGTTTGCACAAAGAAGATTTAAGATTACCTCAGAATTGTGCTGAAACAAACCCGAGATGCTTGGGGGGGGGGGCACGGCGAGGCTTCCTCGAGGCCAGGTTTGCAGGAGCAAAAAGAAAAAAAGGACCTCTCTCTCTCTCTCTCTTGTGTCTTCTTCCTTCCTTCCCTCCCCATCGAAACACCTGCTGATCTTGGGGAATATGAGGTGACTGCCGTTCTCCTCCTGAAAATGAAATGAAAAGGCCAAGACGCCTGATCACGGGCAGGGGCTTCCATTCTACAAGAGGATAGGGATCTTCAGACTTTCCTCCAATGCAGCGTCCCAGGCAAATCTGCTCCACTCCCTCAAAAACTTGCATCTTCTCCTTTAATTTGGGAAGTCGTTCCCGCTACCCTCTCTCCCAACCAGTCCTCTCCCCCCCCCCATTGCTCGGTCCCAATATGTTATTGAGATGTGTGGCACAAATAAGTATTAGTCTTCTCTGGTTCTTCATGTTTTCCATTTCGGTTAAAGTTTCGTCTTGGTGAGACTCTTTGCCTTCTGTGTTGGTAACGTTCCTTGACTGAGCACTGCTGTGGGCTCTCTTGGGGGCACCTGCTGGGGTCCCTGGCCCTGTCTGCCATCGTTGGGGAAACGCTGGTAGAGGCTGGGGGGGGGCAGAGGCGGCCCAAGGGAAGCTGGGAGTCCGGGAGGCTGTCGGCTAGCTGCATGCTTTGTTTCTTTGTCCCGAAGGTGTTTGTCTTCTCCTGGTGATGATGAAGCTGTGACTGTAAGAAATTTTGTTCGTTTGATGAGTCCCACTTGAGATATAAGCTCCTTTTCCCTCCTGCCCCTTTCTGTTTGTCTTGGGAAGCAGTATTCCTGGCAAGGGCCGTGCAGAAGCTTTGGTACATTTGCATGATTGAGAACAGTGTTGAAACATGAAAAGAAAAAAGGAAAAAAAAAAGAGGAAAAACCAGAAACACCCTGTCCAAAATCCCACTGTAAATATTCCCAGGTAGCTTATGCAGCTACCCTAAAATAGTTATCTATCCCCAGTTCCTTTTTGGTTTTCCTTGGGGGGAAAAAAAGAACTCTAGGTAAAGGGCAGTTCTGAGCATGAGGGACTTAACATTGCACTTTCTCTTTGCTTCCAAAGAGTTTGCCACTGATTGGACAATTCAGCCTTCCTTACGTACAGCTTACCATGATTGTTTCTTGGGAGGATCCGAGAGGAGAGAGGTGACAGGAAACCATGGACAGACATGGCAATATGGGAGACGGTATCAGTTCTGGGAAACCTTTTCTCCCGAAGCAGCAATATTTCAGCAGAGACAACGGTGGTTCTGTCGACTAGCAGGAGTTTAGTGAACGGAAAGCTCCCTCTCCAGGCATTATTACTGTTCCTTCAAATGCAACTTTGGCTGCATCCCAAGAGGATTCTGCCTCAATGAAGGAATCGCAAGCGTTAGCCGGGATGTGATCTGCATCTTGGCCTCTTGGTTTCCAACTCGGAGGAAACTCTGGCCTTAGTCAGTCTTGGGCACTTGCCCCGTTGGCTCAGTCTGGACCTTGGTGGGGCGGTCTGCTCTCCCACGAGGCAGGTCCGTTGGGGCTGCCGGTGTGCCTACGGAAGGTCCGCCTGATGACGGGCCACTGGGGAAAGTTCACAAACAAAGCTCATCGTTCCTCTGACTAGGAGCATGCACATTTTGCAATGTCTTCAGCCATGGATATTGTTGATTTTGAAAGAAAGGAAAAAATGCTGGTGCAGCCAAGCAGGGGCTGCTCTAGCTAGTGCCTCTTGCAGGAGAGGCCCTTTGTGGTGCGAGGTTTCAGGGGAGAAGCTGAGAACAGAAGATTGGGTTCCTGCACCTAGACAGAAAGTCTGTAGGATGCCGTGAGTGCCCCTTCTAAATAGTTCTCTCTCCCTGTTCCTGTTGGTGGCAGTAGGAATGTAGGAGCCTTTTGTAGAGACATACAAAAGGAGGGAAAGGTCCCAGAAGGTCAACAAGTCATGAGCGTTGATGTTGGTCTAGACTGCTCTGCAGCTGCTACACCTTGTGAAGCCTTCTAAGTTTTCTGGATGCCGCTTCACGGACCCATACCATTCCTCTTTAAACAAGCACAATAGGAGAACCCCCCCCAGGATGGGCTACCCCTTCCTCTTCTCCTCCAGCTGCAGAGTTGCCGCTCTTCTCGGACATCTCCGCCCGCCCCCCGGTGACATTTCTTGAGCATACGCTCTCCCCACAGCTGATCTTGATGACTGGATACGGCAGATGACCAGGATTGGTGATAGCTTGACTGGAAGGACAGCTCCTGTAAGGTGTCTCGCATGAACTGGAGCACTGAAGCTGGCTTGCTCTCGTTGACGGGTAGCCTAGAAATCCCAGGTGCATTCTTCCGTTTTGCTACTGGACAAGCATTAAGCGGAGATCTATTGTCCTCTTGGGGCCTGAGACTAGCTATGGGCAATCTTAAACTTTTGGCAGGTACTTGTTGGTTGTGATAATCAGCTCACAACATTCTCCAAGAAAGGCAATTTCAGAGGGAGTGCCAGCGCGCAACTGTTTTGAGAACCTCCTCCTATCTCAGCTAGATTAGCTTTGGAGTGACTTCAGCCTGTCCCATTTCACCTTTCTGTGTGGGCACTCCACAAGGACTGTCCCAAAGGCCTCTCTTAAAGCATATTCCCATCGAAGCTGTTGTCTGGATCTCTGGCCATTCTTCTGCATCCTCCTTGCCATGGGCAACTGAACCACAGGAAGCTCTGCTCTCTCTGTGTGTGTGTCTCTGTTCCTTACAGCGTTCCCTGCCTTACTTTTTCAAGCGTTGCTTTCCTATTTTAGACTCAGCACATCCTCCACTGTGTTGACATGTTGCTTTCAGATCTTTTCAGGGCTACAACAACTTGGTCTGTTCTCTCCTGTTCTTTTCTCGCTCCTTGCTGCTTCCAGCACTCGTACATGACAATCTTTTCTATACCTCATCTTCCTTCTGTTCCATCTTCCCCTTGAACCTGGCATGCAAGCAATAGATGTCATTGGGACCTTAGAAAAAGCCAGGTACCATTTTCCTGCAATTTTGGTTGCGATCTCCCTCTGATTTTCACTGCTCTTTTAATGAAGTCGGCAGGCCCTTCCCCAGCAGGGCACTCTTTGGGAAAAGGGGTTCTCCTTCAGGCCAGTCCATCCTTCTCTAGGAAACATTTCTGAGCTTCCATGACTTCAACTTCTCTTCAGAGGATGGTTGTACTTAGATCCACTCCTGGTTTCTGTTATCATATGTGTCAAGCCTTTCTCTGCTTTCCTCTCTCTTTCCAAATCTTTTCCATTAAAATCCAGAATTATATATATATATACCCAGTCACTTGCCAATCTTGGCTTGGGAAACAAACGTTCTGCGGATCCTGGATCCATCAGTTCTGATCAATGTTCTCAGGATTACCTACAGTCATCCTTTGCCATGACTACCTTTTTTTGAGCAAGGCCATCATCATACTCCTTCGACCCATTCATTGTTGCTCCCTGTGGGTGTTCGCGGACATCCAGCAGTGACTGACAGGCTACAGCGAAACAGTTGGGTTCTGTCATTGCCCTGGTGGATGGGCGTCTCCTCTTGAAACAGCCATGTTTATGAATGTTCTTACATGTGGAAACAAAATCAAGCTTTTCTTTTACGGGGGTGGTTATAAGGGATGAAAGAAAAAAAAATAAGCTATATAAAGGAGTATTAATTTATTGGGAAAAAAATATTTAAGATGGATTTTCCCCTAGAGATAATTAACAGAAAAGGAAAGGACTTTAATATATATTAAAAAGATTTTAAGATATTACAGTTGTATATTAAACAGTTTTAAGAGATCAAATGGAAGGAACTGGAGTTTAGCTTGACTATTAGACTTATAAGCTGTGTGTCTTGTGGTGAGATCATTTAAAAGAGTAGCACAATGTTTTAAAAAAAAGGTACAGTTTCTCTTCTTTTCAAAATGTGCGAAAACATGTTTCCGTTAAAATAGCTTTGTTTTTGTTGGCCATGTTCGTTTTACAGTTTTATCAAAAATCAAAGGATGTGCCTTGTTTTATGAATTTTTTTTGTTCAGTCATATCTCTGACAAGTGTGTGTTTCTTTTTCCTGTGTGCTTCTCTCTCTCAATCTCTCTCTCTCTCTCTTTAAGTTGGGATGTGTGTGTCTGCTGTGCCCATGTATGTATGTATGTGTGTGTATGTGTGTTTAAATGCATGTGTGTGGAAGTACTTAAATGTGTATGCACAGCGGTATATTGATGTACAAATGAGAGTCAGTCCAGTTTAAACATGGCTTTTGACGTCTGGGGCGCAGTCCTGTCTCGCTCCTGTGCGCTGTGGTTTTTGAGACCCAAGTTGCTGTGTGAGTGAGGGGCACACGCTCTCCTTTCTTTTCTTGAGTACAGAAAGGTCTGCCTTTGCTGATCTCCAAAATGTGTCTGGCACAACTTTGAAATTTCTTACTTAAATAAATAAATAAATAAATACAGAGACAACATAGAAGATACCTGTTGTAAAGAGAAACAAAAATGTATCTTAAAAATATTCCAAGATTCTAATGCTGGATATATACATATTATATATATATTATATATTTTTATTATTAAGTTATGGAAACTGTATTGTATTTCCATCCTGTCAGAGCTATGCATCTTGCGGCCAACCTCCTCTTCTTGCTTCGTGCGTCCCACCTGTATTATTATTATTAATTATGATGATGATGATGAATATTAATATTTGATGGCTTTTGTGGTGCTGTAAAGATTTTTGCTCTTATTTAAAAAACAAACCAACCAGAGTGTCTGGCTACAAATATTTAAAGAAACGTGAAAAAGCAGCCCCAGCTTGTCACTATTACTACACGTATGGGACTGTAAAAGAATCTCTTTTTTTATTGTTTAACTCATTGGAGTGGCACCGGGGGGGTGGAGGGGGGTGGAATCCCAGTTCAGAGGCTGCTGGATCCAGGGCGGCCCAGGTGCTGATCCCACCGCAGTTCCCAGAACAAGGAGGCTGTGAGGTGGATGCCTTTTTCTGGCCATCGGTGCTTAATAATAAACGTCCGAACCATCAGGGGCTGCCGAACTCTTGTGTGGGCTCCAGCCAAGGTGGGGCGTTCTTCTTCTGAAAACGGAGCGAGGGGGCTGACCGGCTGGCTGGTCACAGTCAGGGAGCCAGGTTTGAACCACTGCTCCATCCGCCTACGCTGGTAATAAGGAGCTTGTGCCACGGCACGGTCCACAGACCCGGTGTGCGTCCCCTCTGACCATTTTCAAAGAGGGGTGCGCCAAAGTCTTTCCACGTGGAAAGGGATACCGAGGGGCCCTCCCCCTCCAGGGTATCTCTCTCTCTGTCTCTTCACCGGGGGGGGGGGGAGCACAAAAGGGATCTCCGCTTGACCTGTGCCTGTCAGGTTTGCTCTGTTTTTCTGACAAGCTGGTCTGAACCAAACCCCAGGCTGCACCATTTCAACCACCATCTAAGGTCTGCCCACACTTCAGAACCGTATCAGTGCAATCCTGCCATTACCCATCACATTCCACCTGAAGGCATCCTGGGATTTGTCGTTGGGTGAGATACTTAAAACAAGTTCTTAACTGTAGTTCGGAAGGAGCACCCCTGGCATTCTCTGGCAGGGAGCTCTATGTATCCCACCAAACTAGAAACGGCCGGATCCCATAAGATAACATGACGGGAAGATGCTGTTAGCTGTGCAGGACCTGGATGCCTTTGGCTAAAACCTCGTGAATGCCTGCCCCCAAGGGTGCAAGGCAGCTTGTCTAGTGGCCCACAGCTAAATGCATGTAGGTGGAGGAGAAAACTTCGGGAGGCGAGGGGGTGGCGGCGGCAGGAGGTGTCCAATTAAATGAGAATGCGATTACCCTTTTGCTGCAAGAGCAGAGTCTGTCCGCAAGTCAGGGTTGCCTAAAACAATGGTCCATTTTTATTGTCAAGGAAGAAAGAATTGAAATCGCTATCACAATCTTAAAAACAGTAGAAAAAATGTAAGTATAAACACAACAGCAGGCTCTCCCTGTCTTTACCACGGAGGCTGTTCTATGGCATGATGCAGTGAGGAGGTGGCCTTGGGGTACCTGGCGCGAAAGGAAGGGACAGAGGGGGTGGGGTGGGGTGGGGTGTGGTGTGTGACATAAAAATCGTACCTGGTTACACGAGAGGAAAACTAGGCTTCATGGTTGGCGGTGGGCACAAAAGAAAGACCAGGGTGGGAAAATCAAGCCCCAGAGCAGAGAGGAGGGGGTCGTCCAGTTCCTCCTCGCCCACATCCTTGGCTCTGGTATTGCGACCGGCAATGGGAGCTGCAGCCGCTGACACAGACGCCCCTTCCAGGCCACCATTTCAAGTCACGCGGGCTGTCTTGAGACCCACATGCCACGGTGTACCTTCCCTCTGCTGAGCTAGAAAGCCTTTGGAGCCTTCATTGGGCCACTTGGGACAGGATCAGACAGACTCCCTCCCACCCCCACCCCTGCCACGCACCGTGATTTGGGAAAGAAGCCACAGGTAGATGCGGTTGGTCAGCTTTATCGCCCATCACACTGTCCAGTTTGACGTGTTCCTGGCAGGCAGCGCAGAGGGGTGTCATGGGCTCTCTCTCTCTCTCTGTGTGTGTCCCAGCCCATGGGTGGTGGAAGGGCTTCAGAGTGAAGGAAAGCAGTACATCAAGTGCGAGCTGGAGGAAGATTTGGTAATCCGGTGTTCCAGAGCAGGCGATGGTGCCCGCTAGCATGTCCAAACCTGCCAAGGTGGAAGGAGAATGGGTTAAGAGGACCTTTATGGGCAAAGCGTGGCTGACACAGGATCTGTCCTGTCTCTGGATGAGGTGCCGCCTGAGACAGGATTCCAAGGGCTGAAGAAAGGCAAGGGAGAGACCCCAGTAATCCCAGGAGGCCTCTCCAGAGAATCCCAGTGGCTTCTAGGCACATCCCCTGGCAGCTTTGAAGAGGTGGCCATCCACCAAGCTCGGGGCAGCCCACGCATCACCTGCTCAAGAAATTTCTGGGACCCCGAGTTGGCAGGTCCTGAAATTTGGTGATGCCCTCCATGAATGCAGCTCAAGGCAGAGTGACTTGAACCTGGTTCCACTTCAAACCCATGCTTTCATGCCATGGAGGTCTGGGTTCTCACCTGGTTCCACTTCAAACCCATGCTTTCACGCCATGGAGGTCCGGGTTCTCCGCTGTTACTGTTTAGTTGTCAAGTCGTGTCCGACTCTTCGTGACCCCTTTATGGACCAGAGCATGCCAGGCCCTCCCATCTGGGTTCTCTAGCGCTGCACAAAAGCAGGGTGGGAGAGCGCAGCCCATGGAGCCAGGTTGAGGGAACCTGCGGCTCTCCCTGTGTTGCTGGAGTTCAGTTCCCATCATCCCCTCCCACTGGCTCTCTTGGCTCGGGTTGATGATGGGCCAGAGGTTCTCCACCCCAGCCCTCCCTCCGCCTGTGAGCTTCAATGCAGAGCCCAGCCTAGCAAAGGGCACGTGGGCAGCCTGAACCTTTAATGCCTTGCTCGCCCCCCCCCCCGGACTAAGTGATCAGCAAAGCAACTCACAGTGACCTGTTCTGAAGAAACATACAGGGCTGAAGTATAATATGGGCATTAGCTGTAGCAGCCTCGCTCTGTCTCAGCTCTGAGCTGGGAGGGACATCACACACACCCCCACACACCCCAGCATGAGATGGCCAGGGAGACCGCCTTCAGCAGAGAACTGCACCCATCTTTTTATCCTGCAAGGCACAGCAGCCAGACAGCTTATCACACTTCCATCCTTAGAAGGCAAAGGACAACCTGCCTCAAAACAGGTGGCGATGCCTGCCCCTCCCTCTTTCACCCCACCGGGGGCTGTGGGGAGGGGCTCCTCAGCGCTTCCCTTTCTCCAGTCCTCGCTCCTTGTCTGTGCTTTACCTTAACCGTGCTGTCGACAGCCCCGGAGAACAAGCGGCCCCTGGAGACTGCCAGCGCTGTGACGCTGCCCTGGTGGCGCAGCAGAGTCTGCGTGCAGATCATGTTATCCATGCTCCATACCTAGAAGGGGAGCACAAACCACTGTGATGAGAGACGTGAGATGCCGGAGACAGCCATGAGCTGGTCTGGCTCGACCCTGCCCCATCATGGGCCACCAAAAGCCCCCACCAAAACCAGGCCACGGGGGCTGTCAGAGTGTTTCTCTTTACCACTGGCAGGGCGCCGGCTCTCCTGTGCTGCTACTCAAAATATGTCACATATGCGCCCCCCCCAAGCTTGCCTCTCAAAGGGGGTGGCCTGGCCTGCCTGGGGTGGAGGGAAACCTGCCCTGAGAACAGCCTGGTGGCCAAACTGGCCGGAAGTCCACCTTGTTCCTTCTTTACACGAGGAGGACATACACCGTATTTCAAAGATCCATCCTATGTTGGGGAGGCTTCCCCTCAGGGCAAGTTTTGTCGTCCTTGTTTTCAGCAAACCCCACAGCCCACGTTCCCTCTAATTGCCTGTCCCGCTGTGCGGGAACCTCACACCACGGGGACACGGGCGTCTGGGGCTTCATTCAAAACAGGAAGTAAACCCACCGGCCACCGGCTGCAACCCTGACAGAGCTCTGGGCAAGCACGGGCAGTGAGGGACAACGTGGCCCACCTCGGCTTTGGTCAGGACCCGAAGAGTGTTTAAGGGGCACAATCAATCAATCCATCAGTCAATTAAAAAAGGAGGGGGGCAAGGGTGCCTACAGTGTCTCTCCCCCCCCCCCCAAGTGAGGAGATCAACTTTCTCCCTCTCCTGTGGTCCAGGTAAAGGCCATGATGCCCCAGGCAAACCCCACGATTCAGACAGTGAGGGACAACGTGGCCCACCTCGGCTTTGGTCAGGACCCGAAGAGTGTTTAAGGGGCACAATCAATCAATCCAGCAGTCAATTAAAAAAGGAGGGGGGCAAGGGTGCCTACAGTTTCTCTCCCCCCCCCCAAGTGAGAAGATCAACTTTCTCCCTCTCCTGTGATCCAAGTAAAGGCCATGACGCCCCAGGCAAACCCCACGAAAGCAGCCAGAGAGGACCACCTCCTGAGAGCAGGAAAGCTCTGAGAAACTTGAGAAGGAAACTCATGCCCTCCTGCAACCCCTCAATAAGGACTGAAATATTTCTTCCGGTTTCCCATCCGGCCTCTCCCTCCTCCATCTCCTCTCCACTGCCCGGGGCCCCGAGGTGCCCACCTACCCGTAGCGACCGGTCGTACGAAGCACTGAAGACTTTGGTTTGGTCAGGTGTAGAGATAACGGCGAGGGCGTAGACGGTGCCCACGTGTCCTGTCAGGGTGCGCACTTGCTCTTTGGACTCGATGTCCCACACCTGGAAATTGGGTGGGACACACACAAGGATCAAAATGTCACCTTTCAAACCGTCTCTCCTCCTCCACATCGCCCGGGGGTGGTGGTGTTCCTCTGCTGGCCAAGAGGCCCATTCCCCCAGGGCCTGCTTCTGAGGACCAGGAAGAGGGAGGGCGGGATGCCCTCTCTGCCCATCTAAGCAGGTGGCAAAAGCAATGCCCCCCCCGCCTTCTGCACCTGCAACCCCAGCCTTCCTTACATGAATGAGATTCTCATAGGTGCCACAGACAATATGGTGGTTGGTGACCGCAATGGAGTAGACGCTGCCCCCCGAAGTCTGCAGAACATGCACACATTCCAAGTTCCGGATGTCCCAGATCTAGAGTGGGGTGGGGTGGGGGGCAAGACCAAGAAGAAAGATGGAAATCCAGCAGCAGTACCCATGTATGTGGGATGGGGGTATCAGAGAGGTCATCGACAACCCCAACCAGACCAGGGAAAAGCACCAGGAGGGGCAGGGTGGGGGATCTGGGAGCACACCGACCTTGATGGTTTGGTAGGAGCCGCTGTACAGGTGGTTTTGGGATGCCACTAGCGCCCGGACCCAGTGGTTGAGGCCAGTCAGCTCCTTCTTCAGCTTTAACTCTGTGCCCACGATGTCCCAGACCTGAGGGGCCAGAACCACAAGTGGCTGCCAAACAGAGCATGCTGCTCAAAAGGAGAAGGATGCCCATCCTCCCTCGGTCCACAGATCAACCTCTGGGGCAAGCGATGGCAGAGCATCTCACGGGGACGTTGAAGAGCAAACCGTTGTGGTCACACACACACACCCACAAACCCAAATTCCAAAAAATGGAGTTGCACCCGAAAGGAAAGCAACGGACCGGGGCTGGGCACAATCAGGTTAAAACTGCCCACTCAGCCACGGACGTTCACTGGATGATTTGGGACTGGTCCCTACTGCTCACCTTCCATAAGCTATAGCATAGAGGGGAAGAGAACTCTTATCTGTATGCTGCCTGGGGCGTTCTGGGAGTTGTAGTCCAAAGCATAATCGGAATAGCTCAGCCTTGAAGAGAAGCCAACGCATGTCATGCATGTCATGAATGAAAGGGCCAGCTGGAGTAGCAAAAGGAGACCCTACTACCCGTTACCATCAGAGAGAACAAAGAACGCTGGTACCAGCCTGAATCCGAGAGTGGAAATGGCCAGGATGGGAACACAGGGTGGAGAGGAAGGGAAGAAGGCAAGAGGGAGACCAGAGAAAGGGGGCATCTGTGCGGGGGGGGGGGAAGTAAGGTCAGCAAGAATGGAGGGGAGATCAGAATTTGAAAGGGGAGGCTGTGAAGGGTGTTGGGGAGTGGGGTTCAGGGCGAGCAGACAAATGACTGGGCGTTTTCTTGGGGAAAATCAGAAGCGCAAAGGACTGAAGTCCCCCCCCCACCAAAAAAATTCTACCTTGATGGCTTTCAGGGAGCCACTGAACAGCATGTTGTGTGAGGAGACCAGAGTGCACACAGGGTTGTCATGCGCACGGATGGTGTTAACTTTCTGCAAGGTTTGAATATCCCAGACCTGCACAGAACAAAAAAAGGGTACATGTAAAAGCCAGACTCCCTGCGAGATGTTCTTGTAGACCCCCACCCTTAACCCCCCCCCAAGAAGAAGAAGCAGCCCAAGCAGGGCCTTGGCGAAGCCAGGCTTACTTACAATGATGGTGCAGTCAGCAGAGCCACTGTACAGCTTGTTCCTGGGCAAACAGAAAAAGGAGGACCTTCAGGGCAGAGGCTCAGGGGCCAGTTTGAGGGGTGGCAGGTTCACCAGTTGCCCACGGCACATAAAAATCACCTCCAGACTCCCCCAAGCAGACCCTGATTCTAGCCTCAAAGCAAAAAAACAACTGTTCTCGTATTATATCCTGTGCAAGGGGGGTGAGGGGTTTTTTTTTGTAAAAAAAAACAACTTCCAATAAATTTTCATTTTTTAAAATAAACAAATCTGCCCAATAAAAGAAAAAAAGGACAATGCAAGGCAGTCAAAAACAACCCCTCGTCCACTTGGCTCTGTTTGTGTAACAGGTTAGATGCCCGAAGCTCAGCGCTCCCAGCTGTAAAAACAGAAATCCCCATTCCCATCGGGAGAGCAAGGCGTCTCGACATTGCACGGCTCTCGGAAAGTGCGAAGGGAGGGAGAGGGCTGGCTCTCGGCGTCTGTGCCCAGCTGGGGAGGGCGCCGGAGGGCAGATGCTCTGACTCACCCTTGGATGCAGAGCGCCAGGACAATCCCGTCGTGGCCCTCCAAAGTCTTTTGGCACTTGTAGGTGGTACAGGTATCCCACACCTAACAGGAAACAGAAAGGGTCATGTGACGGCGCTCGAGGGCAGCCAGGACGCCGGACAGGAAGCCTGCTGATCGCGCCAGAGCCGGGAAGGCAGGAAGCAGCTGTCCTGTCCTCTCGGCACCTGCTTTCCCATCTTTCAGGGCAAAATAAACTTGTCCAGGAAAGGAAAGAAATGGACAGGTCCCCCCCACACACACACACACAAGGGAACAAGAAACAAAGAAATGCAGCCCTCAGCAGTTCTCACTGTGGCCTCGAGGCTGAAGAGGCCTTCCTGTTAAATACAGACCAAGGTGCCTACAAATCACATGGGACCCAGACGCTCCACAAATCCCGCCAGTTCCTCTCCTAGGATGGCCATGACCACTAGCCTGGATCTCTAGAGAGAAGCCCTGCTAAGCTCTGGAGAGCCATGCCCCCCACTGCCTTCTCAGGGCCCTACTGGCACACAGCCCTCCAGAACCAGCCGCTCCTAAAACGGCTGCTGCCAAGGGATGCCCAGGGAGTCTCTCAAGGGGCACCACCCTCAACGCCTGGCTCTGAGGAAGGACCCCTTCACATCAGGCGCTGGCGGCCTGGGCATGTTGGCAGAGAAGGGTGCAGTGACTCTCAAGAATCATCCCGTCCACTCTTACCTTGATGGTTTTGTCAGATGACCCACTGAAGAGTAAATCCCCGATGGAGTAGACACAGAGACACCAGACGGGGCCCTGGTGCCCGACAAAGGTGCCCTTGCACTTGAAGATCTGCTGGGGATCATAGGCTGCGAAGGGGAAGAAGAGGCGGCCCGCCAGCGTGAGAGCAGCGCCCTGCCAAGCCCTTGGGAGACACAGCTTCACCAGGATTGGGAGCAGCTCTACCAGACCTTCCCTCAATCAAACCTGCCAGACCATCAGCTCTGCCCGCCCCCCCAACCAAGAAGGGCACTGCCAGAGAAGGCCAAGAGCCCGTCTGGTCTGGGTTCCTCTCCCAAAGGGACCAGAGTCCGCAAACGTGGGTGATGTCTTTCCACTGTCTTGAATCTAGGGGATAAGCTCTTATGCCAAGGGTCCCTCAGTGCCTGCGGCGTGAGAGATGCAGAAGCTGCACCAATTCTTTGCCTGCCAAGGTTCATTCTCGCCTGTGCTGAGGTTGAGTAACTGCAGATTTCATCATGCTTTCCACCCCATTTAGCTCTGATGGGCAATAGATGAACAGGCTTCCATTATTTTCCCCTTTATCCAATTCAGTACTACCGGTAATGTCAGAGACACGTTGGTGGTTTTTGAAACACAACGTAAAGCAATTTCATATTCGAATTTCACACCTCCTCAAGGTGAATTTTCCAAGAATCAAATCTCAACCACTCCATATTCGAATTTCACACCTCCTCAAGGTGTGTCCAAGAATCAAATCTCAACCACTTGCAATGAAATGAACAGATAAATTCATCCTTTCTCCTGACACGGACACTTTGTCCGCACACGGCCTCTCTGGCTCTGGACAGGTGGCATTCCTGAAAAACGTGCCTTGAAGTTCCTGAATTTGGCCGTCCTGCCTGGAGATGCCTACTGAGCTTTGCAGCTCATCCTGGCCTCCCAATCAAGGAGAAGTAGCTCTGCCTAGGACTTGGGATGTACACCCTTTCTGAGAGTCAAGAGTTCTGAGATAGAGGCCCATAATTCTGCACTCAGAAAGACAGAAACATCTCCAGATCCTGAAATGCGGATGTTCTGCAGTATCAGCTGGTACTCATGGAGAAAACCAACGAGATACTCACAGCCCAAGATCCCCATGTTCAGCCGTGCATTGATGTGGGACAACTCATCCTGAAAGAGAGAAAGTTAAATGATGTGACAAGCGAAGCAACCACCACCTTGACTGCGGCGTTGACGTAATGACAACCGCCCAATAATAAGGCTCAGCTCCGTTGAAGGAACCCCTTAGAAGGCCACCCCTCCCAGAGCAGCCACCAGGGACCACCTGTGCACTGTCTACTAGAATAAACAGGACAGCCTGCCGGTGGGACCTAGTGCTGCCTTTTGCTGATGCAAACCGTGAGTTCTACTCTTACTTGCTGACATCTAAGCATGCTTTAATAAGACTAGAGAACATCCATGGTTTAGCTGATGAGGACTCTTTCAGGTACTCAGCGAAGATGAAGCAGTGTTTATGAAGCAAGGAAAGAGTAAGGGAAAAAAGTATGGGTGACTTTTCCCTTACAAAGACTGGGGACTCATACAAAAGATGAAATAAGCGCATGTCCCTGCTGAGACCTTGGTCTGAAAATGAGGCAGATAATGAAAAAATGCAGTGCCATCTCTAATCAATGGACTGAGCACATTCAGGGCCCCGTCTGGGATGGCTCTTTCTTCTTCCATTAATACATCTCCATCCTTTATTGGTTTATCTCTTCACTGGCCTTCCCTTCATCTTCTTTTTCCTTTCAGTCCCGGGAGACAAAAATCGCCAGAAAGCTTATGGCATGAACTGGAGAAAGTTTCAGCAGAAAAATTCTCCTTAGAATGCTTTTTATTGGCAAACAAGGGCACTTTTAAGCTTTTCCGTGATCCTTTTTCTCCAATTCCGTTCCATTCTCTGCTTTGCATGATTGTTCCTGTTTAATGGGCTTTAACGACTATCTTCAACTGGTGACCTTTACAGCTGGCTACTCTTTATTCCCTGGGGTGAAAACAAAAAACAACTCGTCCTAACAGGTAACACCCGCAAGGGTACTCAGCTCTCCCTTTGATGAGATGCCAGGCAGGAGGTCTCTGTAGAACAGGGAGGTCCAGTTGATCCAGGCCAAGGAGCCAGAAACTAGGGATAGTCCTCTCCAGGGTCCAGAGGGCCCGTCGAGTTTTGAGTTTGGGAACAAAAGGAAAAGAGCAAGCAGCGACACTCACGTTGAGCATGGAGGCGTCCCTTCGGAATTCCATGAGGTCCTCACTCAGCTTGCTCTGGTTTTCATCCAGGACGTCTGAACAGGGACAAGGGGAAGAATGGGGTTTTTTAAACATCCAGATTCAAATTCAAGAGGAATACATTCAGGTCAGGGCTAAAGCCCAACCCAATTCCCCCCCCCCTCAATTCGACAAAAGTCTTAAATGCCACCCAGAAAGCTGATGTGGAGTAATAATCAAAGTACTGTGAGATGACGGCTGGGAAAGCACTGGGCTCAAACCAGATTTTTCACCTCCAACTCACTTATTGGTATACCCTGGCCTTGCCTGGCTGCGGAGTTTGTCCCCTCCAAAGTGCTTTGAAAACTCTCTGGGATCTCACCCTTCCTTGGGGTGGTCTACTCTGTGGAGGTCCTCCCATCCACTGGCAGATGGACTCTTTAGCAACTGCTGCATAAAGAGCACAAACCTTCAGAAAACTCAGGTGGCCTTCCAACAAGGATTCCCTTGTTAGTCCTTTCCACAAGGGGGCCACCAGATGTTTGGCAACTGCACACCTCTGCAAAGATTCTCTAGCCCTTCCTTCCTCCCTCCC